TTTATTTCTCCATTTAAGCTTCCAATTAACATTATATTTAATTATTGTGGTTCCTATTTTATTCAATATATTTAAATCGCAATTAAAATATTATTCAAATTCAAAATTAATTATTAATTTCTCCTTTTGAGTTTCCAATTAAAATCCTATTTAAATTCAATATATACAATTCTCAATCAAGATGTTACCCAAATCTTATTAATTAAATATATTCAAACCTCATAATATCATTCTCGATCCATTTTTAAACGAATTGTATATTACAAGTTTTCAAGAATATAGTTAATAAACTAATTGAACAATAAATCTAACCGCCAGTTTCATGGCCCAAATGATTAATTTAGATTTTTTTTTTTTGAGCAATACTTATATCAAGTTCATACCCATCATATCCATTATGTCAAATTCTACAATCACACAAGATTATATATTCTCTTTTTAAAATATTAACATTTAATTACAAATACACATGAATTTAAAAAAAAAAAAAAAAAAGACACCTAGTTATACATGATTGGAGAGCTTAAGAAAATACAACGTGACCACTCGAAACACTCAGATCAGTCACTGATCATTCTACCTTTCTTTATAATCTCTCTGTTTTACTACAAATCAATATCATAGAGGCACCAATTAATGCGAAGTAGGCAGAGAAAATATCAAGTATAATATCTACTTTGACTCAAGCAAAATGAGCTTCAACACATGACCCCTACTTACATGAAATATCTAACTACTTCATATAATATGAATCTTGTCTTGTCCGTGTTACATCCATTTCCATCTCTTCCTGTTTGTTTGAACCAATAAAAAGATGTGAAGTTGAAATTTACAGGGAAAATTGGGGAAAGCTGAACAAGAGTTTTTTGAAAGTTGAACTTCAACCAAGATGCATGACTGAATTTCAAATGGCGGAAGGGATGAGGCCTTCATCTCCCTCAGTTTTCTGATCATCTTGCAACTCCATCCAAGGTAAAATAGGTCCCTGAAAATAATATATTTCTCAAATATCAGTGTATTGAGTATGCTATGCTTCTCAATGTCATGTAAAATAACAAAGTAAATATTTCTTTTGTTTAATTATGAACTCTAACTTTTATAAGATTATTAAGATGACAATTAAAAGCCATAAGCATCCAAGATATCCGACAAGACTTGATCAAGTTTCCACAGTCTGATTCACAAAGTAGTCAACAAGTCAATGTATATTACCTTTCCTTGTCGTATGACTGTCGGAGGAACTTTAGTCATATCAACCACAGTGGATGGCTCAGCAACTCTCACACCGCCATCAACAACAAAATCAAGACCCTAAAGAAGAAACCGGTGTCAATAAATATACTTTTAAGAATGGCTGCAGTGACATTTTTCATGCACACATGCAAAATCAGCTTCACTAGAAGGAAAATTATAATGCAAATGCAGTGTACCGTAAACATTACGCGGCCTATTTCTAATAAATATTTAAAAGTCCATAATAATAGTCAACATTGTTACAGCGAAAACAAAAAACAAGAAAAGAAACACATCACTTGGAACAAATAAAGTGACCCACCTCGGGTCCATATGTATCAGCAATCATAACAGGATCAACCATCCACGCATCTTCATTTCGGAACTTGATGCTGAAAAATGGATTAAAAATCCAGAGCAAGAGTCAACATGTGGAAGCATCAGTTGCACAATCTAATTGCTCAAAAGAATTGGTTTAGAACTAGGTCCTGTTTTGCAGCAAACCATTTCTGTTTTCTTCTTGTTTTTTGTCTGTGTTCATGTATTTTCCTTTCCGGGGTGTGAGTTTTTTTTTTTTGGGGGGGGGGGGGGTGGTTAAAATCAATTAAACAAACCTTGTACATATTAAGGGTGCATCCATCTTCTCCAGTATTGTCTGACAAATTGCATCATCAGGCATACGGACACCCACGTTTTTCCTTGATGCATATTTGGCAGCAGTAGTGCCATATCTTATGCATTGTTTAGGCAATTCTTTACTTGCTATTAGGATGAAAGTATACTGTGACAAAAATAACTGGTGTTAACAACGAGCTGGCTCCACTTAATGCAGCTGAAAATGCTAAATTGGTGAAATAACAAATAAAAATGAAATGTTGCCACCCACAGAGATGAGAGGATACTAAACATGAAACATAAACAACGTGTGACAATAAATTGATGCCATGACATACATTCTTATGTTACATGAACAATAACTGATCTAAACCAATCCATGCTTTCTAGGTCATAAATATATCCATGTGGTTAACAAGGGATAAATGATACCAACAGTTAAACAGTCTTGTTCGTCAATTAAATAGCAACTATAGAAGCATCCAAAGAGCATACTCACTGGACCAGGTAAGTAAGGCTTAACAGCTTTGAATATATTTGTATGACCTTGACCATCGCCACGTGGAAATCCAATAGTATACTTGTCTATGTCCCGAAGCGAGTGGCACAAGATGCTAAGAGGCTGCATTTGTAAAACCATCGCATACATTACCAATAGGAAGTTAAATCATAGCATACACAAATGTAATCAGACGCCTGGTGTAGGACTAAGTTCTTGACATACGCCATAACGTTAAAAGTTTGGCAATTTAAGCTTACTCAACAAGATTGAATACTAATAAAGTAAGGTTATACTCCTCGCCTTTGAAGCTTCTATCTTCTTGATTCTGCAATGCAAAACTAGACCCTTTGTAGATGAGATGAACAAAGAGCTACTTTGGGGCGAGAAGTCCCATAAATTAGCAAAATTCGCCTACCTACGGAGACGCTCAATGGCTGAGTGGCTTCTCAGATCACATACTATAGCATACCTACATAAAAAAAAGAACTGCAAGCAGTCACGCCATTATCTTTTATTTTAGGGGGGAATTTAAGGCTTCCAAAAAAAATAGGAGATTGAGCATTTGGGCTAGCAAATTGTGTATTGATGCTCACAAATTTGTTCAAATTATATTTATAAATCAAAAAGCAAAAGGCAAATGCTGATAATTTAATATCCTCCAATATTTTAGATCTTGAGAACCGAAATTTCCCATCACATATTGATAATTGTCTACACCAAGCAGAGTCTCGTACTTCCCAAGAGGGGTGTTCGATTATAAATCATCTTAGTACAAACCAGATGAAATAGAACGAAGATATAGACAAAATTAAGAGACGAAAGCAGAAATCTTTTAACTGCATATAGACTCTGCTCAGATTGCTCAAAGAGCTCAACAGAAAATGTGAACGTCTTGAGCAGACCGATCCAAGATCAATTCAATACTGTTCATCAGAGGGTAATTAGAAGCCTAGTAGGGTTACAAACAATTGGACATGAAACGGAAGACTACATCAAAACAATTATAAAAGGAGTTTAGAACAGAAGAACAAAAACATACAAGCCTGGATGAGAATAGCTACATAAGATTTAAAAGGTCAATAGCAAAGGGGCCCGAACAAGATAAGAAACTTAACAGGGTATCTGTGGGAATGACTCCAACAGCTCCTTCATTTAAAAGATTAACCACGGGTTCTAACTTCCAGCTGTCAGACCCCGACGTGTCCGCTTCAACGTAAAGCAAACCACCTTCCTGATATTTCCAGAATCAGTCCCAGATAAGGTTAAGTGTATTGAGTAGTAGATAATATCATATAAAAGAGAAGAGCTGGATCATGCCAATAAACAGAGATGGCACCTCCTCGTCGATAATAAAATTTCACTCAAGCAGAAAAATAAAGAAGAAACCAAAAGGGACGAATATTTGCATCACCAACAAAATATTGTCCGCCTCCATTATAAACAGGCAACAGAGAATGCTCATGGCTTCAGCCAATCAGGGAGAAATAAATAGGTACCAACCAGACAGTATTGAAGAAGAATAAGATGGAGGGGAGATAAAGGCAGAGGGATGGCAATAGACGAGTAAAAAGTAAAGAGTGATGAACAAGACCTTGGTAAAGCGAGGAGCCGTATATTTGAGACGCTTAGGACTCCGCTTAACAGCCATAGATAGAACTGAGAATTTGCGGGTATTGGGCAGGCGAAAGGGGAAATGAGTCTGAAGCAATATATCGGTGGCCATTGCAGAAAAGTGACAGAATGTGAGACAAATCAACGAGTCACAACCGCATAGCTTCTGTCCAGAAAGCATTAGCAATTTATTGTTCAGAAACCCTCAGAAGTTGAGAAATTTCGAGATGTAGCGAGGCTTCTGTTCCCACTGGCAGGGGCCCGAGGGCAGGGCCGACGAAGCAACCATAACGACGTTCGAGTATGGGCGATGAACAACGAACATTATCACCTCATCTGTCTTGACGACACCGTTTGGCCGGCCTCGACCGTCATTAAGAACGGGCTTGACTGCCAGACCACTTGACCCATACTGGCGCGGTAAAAATTCCCCATAAACCCGTTTTATATAAATCAAGATAAAACTAATCACTATAAAAAAATTATTTATAAACTGTTTATAAATTATTCCAATCAGACCTATTATCTTTTACTGTTTTCTCCATGGTCACGGCTTCTATGAACACAAGATCAAAATAAGCGCTTTTTTTTTTTCGGCTTGAAGAAAAATACGTTTTCCTTTAAAAATGAGATCAAAATGATTATATGTTTATTTAAAATTGACTTTAAAGATTATATTTATTTTTAAATTAAAAAAAACTTTTTAGCCAAAATTAAATAAGCATAAATTGCTAATATGTGAAAAGGACCACAAATCCCGACATTATACTTGCTCTAGAAAATGCACAACAACACAACCAACAAGAAGAAATGCTTTGAATACTGGGTCAATTCAAGGCATTCAAAATGAAGAAAGGAAGGACTTAAGCTCAATGAATCAACATAAATCGCCATCACTCCGCTAATACTCCTCGAGACATGAGCACGCAAAACCGTAACAGAGCAATGTCTCGTGCGTTTGAATGAACTTTGAACGCTTATTAGGACCTTATTTTCTTTCACGTAAAATTCCTTCTGACGAGATAGATGATGGCAGCGCTTCTAGTATTAGCAACATTTTTATTTCAATGCTGTCAGTGGAGGATGCCCCGCTATCTGCTCGGCATAATAGCTTGTCAACCCAATCAACTTAACAAAACATTTCATATGCTAAACAAATAAAGGTTACAGAGCGATATGCATCACTGCTGTCAAAATTTTAAGTAATATGTGATTCTCAATAATCATCAATACATCGGCTGCTGGGATTAATATTTAGTCGACGGCTGCATTTATCTAGGAGGTGGTGGAGGAGGCGGTGGATGCGATTTTGCAAATCCCACCCACGCAACGATGCCAACAGCCAGAATTACCCAGCCAAGAATGTCATACTTCAGATCACTGCTCTTCTTTTTCTTTTGAGTCTGCAAGTAATGAAACAGATCAGGGAAGCAAAATACAACCCAACTGTCTAACTTCACTCAACATCTCTTCTATTTGCTTTTTCTTTAAACAGCAAAAATATATGCCTCCAAAAATATATCCATTCAAAGGTAAAGTAGCTTTCCGGGACTGGTTTTGCATTAACAAGATGTCAACCCCATCCGTCTCAACCCCAAATGAGACGCATCAAAAGAAATAAGATTGCGTATTCAGCCTGATTCAGTCCTAGTTGAACCTCCCATCATGGTCCACAAATCAATAAGATAACCTCTTTTTGTTCTGTGCATGTCTTTTTTTTTTTTGGGGGGGGGGTGATGTTAAGAAATAGAACCAATCCATTTAAAAAGCATCCCTAACAGCTTCAGGAAAACCCATTGATTGTGTATATGCAAGTAGCCACATATGGAATAATAATTACATGAACAGGTGTTCAAACTCAAATTAATAAATCTCAGTGCAAAACCGATTCTTTCGAACCTAAAACTGATACCACTCAGAAACTGCATGCCTGAACTATTAACTAAAAAACCTGATACAACACAATACATGGAGAGACAAAAGGAGGTCTTAAGTAATACCTTTGTACTTGACGAAGAAGAGGGTCCAGCTGCCCCTGCTGCCTTCTCTGCAAATCCGTGCTTATGTATTTCTGCATGCAGCTCAGGCGCCTTATGAAAGACGTGTCAGTAGTCAAACATGTCCAGTGAATAGTTGATGAATATAACAAATTAAATTTCAGCAAAATCCATCAATCACTAGGGTTATATATTATTCAGCAGTAGAAAATACCTGCTGACAACAGAGAATCTTACAACAGTTTGATTAAATTGTTTAACATTTATGCGGCACAATCCATATAGCCAGATTAAGCCTAGTTATATATATAAGTATTAAAATCCATTAAGTCAAAGCATGGTCGCTCACACCACAACATACACTACTGCAGATGTAAGAGCCACTTCACATAATTCCAAATAAGAGTTAAGAGATACAATGTACAATACTCTACATTCAATGTTGTACATGCTACGCATTTGATGTAATATTTATCATTTATCGGTAAGATTTGAGAATCATAACACCAACCTAGCCACTCTAACTAGCTTTCAGTTTCAGTTTTCTTCTTTAAAGAAAGATGGATAACCATATGAAACAGTGTGACCATCTATCAAAGTGTTATAGAGAGATATTGTGCCTAAAATTATTTAAAAATTAAAAAGGAAAAGGAAAAGATGAGATTACATCAGCAAGGAGACCTAAATATAATAACGGGGCATGTATAATACAGAACATACCTTAGCAGCCACTTCCAGAGATTTCCGGTACAGTTCATTTTCTGGTTCCTATAAAGAAGAAGATTACTACTTTACCCGTTACATTGGATGTAATGTATTAACATCAACACAAGACTGAAAATGTACCTCTTCAACAGCTCGCTGGAAGTACTCAGATGCCTTGTTAAAACAAATTTTTGCCTCCTCCTGATCCGGATTTACAAAGGCATCGGATGTATAGGCATTTCCCAGGCACCAAAGTGTATCATGCTTCTTGGGATTAACCACTAATGCCTCCTCGAGCTTTGAAATTGCATCTTCAAATCAAGACCCAGAATGAGGATTCAAAATCGGAGGTTTATCGGCAATACTTGATATTGTAAAGAAATTCAAGAATTTAAAAACAATGTGCAACAAATGATGCCTCCTCAGTCTAACAGAGAGTCAGAGTGTCAAGAGTTCAGGCTGCAAAAAATGCATGTCACTTTTGGAAATCAAAAATAAAAATCTTGTCCCATCAATAAAGACTTCGGCATCTGGTTTGAACCTTGGATCATCTTCTTTGAATCAGGGATGCTCTGAAACTGAGACAACTCTAACAAAGCGCCTCCCCATCTTGTCAAATTCTGCGTTGATTAGAAAAAAGTTATGTTTTCCTAACCCAGAATGCCGAAAGTGGAGGTTAAACGAACAATAAAGTTGCAGATAATCTTCAACATTACGCGGATCAACATGAAATGCAAGTCTTCTATTGTGCGATAATCTAAACTATAACCTGAACCAGATCATTTGGCATCGAATAACGTAGAAATATTTTATCATGAAACAAAAAATCACAGAAGATTACAAGACTTTTGAGCCTCCGTGAACATTTCAAGAAGCAGAGGAGCTTCAACAAATATGAATAAATTCGATCCAAAAATGAAGAGGAAAATTGGGATAAGAGGAGAAGAAAGAAAGACCGACATCGGCATCGAGAGGGTCACTGGCGTATGTAGCTTCGGCAGTCTTACGGGCATGCTCGAAGAACAAAAGGCGGTCGAAATCGCTCTGCTGCAAGTCCATGCTCGCAGACTCAGTTCGGTTACCCTAGGGTTTTGGGGTTTTTGATTATGTGAATGATCTTATATATGGGTGCAGTCGCCCGGCAGCCAACTCAGTAAATAGATATTTTAGTGCTTCGCTGTTTTGAAAATTGCGCGATAATAGACTGGAAAAATCTTACTCCCAAGCGTGCTTAGCGTATGTTCCATTTTGTTGGCTGAGAATTGAAAATACAAGTTTTATTTAAGCTTTTAAATATCTCTGACTCTAAGTTCTCTTTTAGGGTCATCCTAAATAATAACATACGATTACTTCCTCTATTTCTTGCTGTAATACATTCTTAATTACCTTACTGAAATTTTTAAAAAAAAGTGTTTAAATTATTAAGTTTGTTTAAAAATAGAATAACTTTTTATATTATTCGTATTTTAAAAAAAATTCATAGTTGTATTATATTCTCCTTCACAATTTATGACTTAATATCCCACTGAGTGGTTTATAATGAGCATCATCTCTCCCTTTTAAAAGAGGTGACTTATAATAAGATCAAATGAATATTTTTTATTTGTAAATTATTTAAAAAAAAACGTTCAAGAATTAATACTAGCATTCGTCTAGTATCACATGAGGAGTTTTTGTAATTTTAAAATATTAGAGATTAAATAAAAAAGATCATCATATCGAGATCATCTCGTCTCAAATTAAATTACGGCAAGATGTATGTATGTGGAGCTTTTGTAATTTTAAAATAAAATTAGAATATAATGTTGTCAATGATAAATATTTTAAAATAAAAATTTTAAACAAAACAATATGTATGTGTGCGTCAAGACTCAAGACTTGTAGAAAACATCTGACCCCCAAAAATTTTCTTCCAGCTGGATTTGTCCTTTGTTTTCAGGTGAGTTAGCTTGTCTAGTTTAGGGACCTGTTTGGTGCCCCTCAAAACTATGGTTTAGGAGGTCAAGTCATAGTTTAGGTGGGATGTCACCCAAACAGCATTAATTTTAGAGAAATAATCCGAAACCATGGTTTATGCCAAAACCATAGTTTCAGGAGAAGTGAATCCATTCTGCTTCTGGTTCAAATTAGAGAGTATGATTGTGCCTCTTAGAATAAATCTCAACAGTAATATGATTTTAACATCCCTCAATTATTTTTTTATAAACATATTTAATCTTATATCTTATAAATATATATACACATATTAATTATTTATTAATTATATTATCTTATGTATTATTAATTATGTCGGTAAAAAAATATATTATTAACAATTTTATTTCTTCAAATTAAAATATATCATAAAATTTATCTTTTATGTAATTATCATATTAACTTATGTCTTTTTTTTAGTAATTTGTATATATAAAAATTGCTTCTGATAACAACTATCCAAACACTTTCACTTCTTAGAATTACTTTTTCACAAAATCTATTCTTCACAAAAACTATTCTTCGCAGAATATATTCTCCAGACTATTCTCCACACCATGGTTTGGTTTCATCCCACCACTCTCTAAGGAAGTGTTTGGAGGCACTTTGCGCAAAACGAGGCAAACTCCTTTACATATTTATTTCGTATACCGTAAAAATATTTTTAGAATCATGGTTTCGTTTTTAATCAAACATCCCTTAAGTGTATGTATCTAAAGTTAAGCAAACTTCAAATATATCTGACACATGGACACTTGAACTGACAGGACAGAATGGGAAAAAAAAGGACTTGCAAAAAAATGTTGATCCTTTTGACAATTTGATTAATGTTTACAAATGATTTGTTTAGCTTCATTTCTCCCGGTACTCCTAAGAGCAAGAAGAGATCTAGTTTTTGAAACTGCATAATTAACAATTCCTCACTAATAATCAATTACCAACACCAGTACGATTCATGTTAAAATGTGTTACACAAGAGGTGCCTGAGAGCTATCACTATTTGCAGGCGAATGTGCGGGTTGTCGAGTTTGAGCCCCGTTCTCCATGATCGAATCATATTGCTGCACAACAAGCAATGAAGATTGGGAACCAAAATTATCTGAGGCCACTATGTCCCCTAATACTCCCAGTTCTTGGTTGTCACACCATTGTAAGAGATTTGAAAATAAGGCTGAGTTCCTATTATTCCCTTGCCCAACGATGATCAGATCATAGTCATCTTTGGCAAACTCCTGCATAAGTGAAGTCAGTTCATCAGCACTGCCCACGTCCTCCTCTGAGTATGTAACGTAGTCATTATTATGAACCACCTTGAGCCTGAATGAATCTAAATACTCGTCATCTAACAACTTGTGCCTCTCTTCGTCCATTATTGCAGAAGATATCCACTGAGATTCACTGTCGACTGATACGTCTGCAGCTTCACCATACAGAACAATCCGCACCACGGAGACTTCCGTCCCTGGCTGCCCGGCCATTCTCCATGTAACAGCCAAGGCTTCACGATCGTCAGGACCGCCGACGAAGAGCGTTAGGATGCTTGTGTTGTTTCTGGACGATGATGTCCCAATACCACGATCAACGAAGACTGCCACCGAACAAGGAGGATTTTGCAGAACGTTCAGGTTTATGTCTTTGTATATAGCGTTTGTTGTCTCCAGACCACCTTCTACATCTGCTTGCTTGTGAAAAGGGAGGAGCACTATGGACGTTAGTTTTTGCTGTGCCAAGCAGTATACATCATCATGAATGGTTTCATATACCGACATGGCATCGGTGGTTTCGACTCTAACGGCGTGGTTCCACTCTGTTAGAACGTTGAAGGCGTTCGTGATGTTCTCTGACTCATTTTGTGATGATCCGGCCATGCTTGGTGATCCGGTGAGGGTGCTAGGTTGTTCTATATGGGCGGCAAAAAGGGTGGCGGCAGCTCGGCCCCTAAATTCAACCAGACGAACTCCAAACACATGCATAGGAGAAATTCTGGTGGCATTGCAGTTTTTTAAGACGCTAACCATGCTTGCAGCTTGGCGAACGTTGTGGACACAAGCAAGGATTCGAAGTTCTGTCTCAAGCCTTAGCTTTTGGACAGTCCTTAGCTTGTACATCTCAAAGCGCCTTCTTGGGTGGTACATGGCGCTGATGAAAATAGGCGCCACGATAGTCATCAGAAAAACCGCAGAAACCATAATCGTGAAATATAGCACAGATAAAATCTGCAAGATATCGAGAGAGCTGATTAGTTAAAGTTGCTATGCACAGCGTGAATAATATATATCAAACAGTTTCAATAAATAGTATGTATACCTTTCTATCCCAGGCTATGTCTAGAATGATCAGTGCCAGGACGCCTTTGGTGTTGAGAAGTAGTCCAATGCCCAAGCCATCACGAGCAGGTATATTGAAGAAGAAGGTAGTTATCAAAGTGCTCAAGACTTTGGGGATGAATAGAAGGACGATAACGAGGGCCATCAATGGCCAATATTTTTGTTGTGCAACCGTGACCAAGTTAACTGTTAAGCCAGAACGAAAGAAGAAAAGTGATGATATAAGCCCGGAAGCACAATCATCTACCTTCCCCATCACCAGATCAGCAAATTTCCCATTAGGTAAAATAAGCCCATACACAAAAGCTCCAACAATGGCGTGCGTGCCAAGCGCATCTGTAATATAAGAACAAACGATAGCACCCAACAACACTGTAGTGACCAGCTGAGAATTCTCCCACGAATCTGTGTCGGTTTTGTAATGAATGTATCGGGTAATGATTGGGCGTACGGCAAATAAGCATATGAGGATGAACAATAAGGTAGTTAGCACCGACAGTACTGGTCTTGTATCATTACCGGCAAATGGAATCAATATCACGAACAAAAACCAACCATAGGCGTCGCTTATCATAGCTGCAGTTAAAGTGATTCTGCCGAGCTTCGTATTCAGCAACTTGAGATCAGTAAGGACTCGGGCAAGGATTGGGAAGCCTGTGATGATTAGAGCCAAACTCCAGAATAAATACGCCTCAACGATATATTTTTTATCCTCACGGAAATGGGTTTCTGCTGCAGAATTTTCATAAAAATGACGTAACATAGCAAAGAGGCCAACCCCAATCGCCACTGGTACGATAATCCCAGCAACGGCGATGCTTACGGCCTTCCTTCGGATTCGTAGAATCGTATCTAAGTTCATTTCTAAACCGCTGAGAAGAACATAGCACATGAGGCCAATATTAGCGTAGGTTTCAATATTGAGGAGTAATCTTGGAGCCAAAAGCGTCTTCCCTATTACGGTGCGTCCCAAAAATAGAGGACTTAAAGTGAGACCAGCCTGTGCGAAAGAAATGAATAATAATGAATGAGAAAACTCTTACGTTATTCTGACACAAATGTTCATGTGTGCGACGTTATTGTGATACAAATGTTCATGTACTTACGAGAATCTCTGCGATAATGCGAGGCTGGTGAAAAGGTTTGATGATGTAGTACAAAATATTAGAAGTAAATACAGCGTAGGCGATTTGCACACACAAGAATTGGCCCTCGTCTTCGAGGATGGGCCCACTTTTCCATATTCTATTGGGATTGCTTGCTGCTACTTCGTAGCATGATATTGTGGAGGACCATGTAGAGTTATGAAAATAATGAGCTTTTGCAGCTGCCATTGAATTGCCTTTTCTTTGTTTGTCTGCCTCCTGGATGCAACACAAGAGTTTACAACTTTTGTAACGAACAGACCCAGTATATATACCTCTTGAACCTCTTGAAGATAAGATCAGATCAGCGAAATCAAAGGAGGGACAAATAAAAAAAAACAGTCTTCATCAGTTACAACAAATATGCGTCTGGAGTATTATTCTATTCTTGTTATGGTTGTGTTTCCTCTATGATGTTTGTCATTCATTCCATACCTTGGACTATATTGCTGTATCTAATCCCCTTTTTGCCCAAAAAAGGAGTAGTTTGCAACCTTAGTCAATAACAAGAAAAATCAGTAACTGATTTTTTACTTGCCACCTCTCCAACTAACCAAGACATGCTAAATATATACATATGTACATTGACTTAATATAATTTATCTTTTAGACCAACCGAATAACTACTCTCCGTTTGTTTGATTGAATTGACTCTAAGGTAAAAAAGAGAATTGAAATTACACTTTTGTAAAAGGCACGAGTGATTTTTTTTTGGGATCAAAGTTCTTTTGACCATGCGTTTACACATGAAAATAACGATTTCAGCACATATTCTCCGCACACGGTCAACCCAGAAAAAATAAAAAAAATCCAAAGGTCATTTGGTAGGGAGAGGGTTAGGGCAAAAATAACGATTTCAGCACATATTCTCAGCACATAGCTTTTCTTTTTTTGGGCAAATGACGAGGTTCAATCAAGATTTCATGGGCATTTGTGGAATATACGAAAGATCAGAACGATAAAGTTCCAGCTACTTCAAACTGAAGCTCGCTGTCTTCCTCGTGGCCTTCGGGGTTCATAGCCTGGTAGGCATTAGCTAATCTCTAACGCTTTTCATATTCTCTGATGAGTACTGAGATCCCTAAATCTTGCTCTTCGAATTTCCCAAGTCAGTAGCCTAATTTTCGTGTTCAGCTCTATAATTGGATTTTTTGTTGTGTGTATTTTCTGAGTTGAGTGAGCTAATTTCCATATCGTAGATTTTGTTCTATAGGGCGACTTCGTACTTCCTGTACATGTTGACGGAGTTCAAGAATCAGGATTCTTTACATAATTGGTTTGATTGAGGTCTAGCATGGCAGGAAAGATGCTCATTTTAGAGTTGGATGCTGATATCTTCTGTTTTGCTCCATTCTTTTTTCTTAGTTTTAGTGTTCTATGGTTGCTGGCGAAATGGAATAAAATCTGAGCTTCCTAAAATGGAAAATTTTTTCCTATGTTGTTGCTTTACATTTTGTGCGGATTATTGAACTTCACTTTTCAATCTTCCCGATGGATACCAAAGTTGCAAATGGAACCAGGCCGGTCGATCATGGCAGGTTTACTATGTCCAAGAGTTGCATTGTTTCAATGACGTTAGATGCGAAACGAAAGCCATGTAATCACGGGGAATGATTTTTACCTCAAGTCTGCTGTGTATGTAAAAACCTGGTGACCGCAGCTTCTTGAAAATTGATAGTAATAAAATGCATGAGACCTTCTCTTCTGCTCGTTTCGGCTAGTAGGATACTATAAGATTTCCAATCAGCAATTAAAGTTTGTTGATCCTATATTAGTTCTTAATGTTATCATCTTTTCAGTTACTTCGAAATTTTCTTTAGTTTAAATACATGAATTGGATTGTAGTTGCTTGCCCTCAGCATTAAAGTAATTTACTTTTGAAATTGGAATTGTTGCAACTGTGCCGTGCGTGTGAACATTAGTGAATTCATTCTTTCTTGAGGAATTGTGAGTGTGGCAATGCATCTAGTCTGTGCCATAATATTCGATGCCACTTGGTGATTTATTATGCTATAATATTTTGGTGGACTTCAAACATCCCTAACCCTCCCCCTACTTTTGGGGGTGGGGGGGGGGGAAGATGCCATTGTTCTCCATTTTCCATAATACTTTAGTTTTCCTTGTGGTGTCTCTTGCTGTGTTTTTATTGATCTTATTCAACAAGTCCTGAACTGCTTTTGAATTCAATTAGGGTTTCAAAAGATGGATGACATGCACAGCTTTTGGCAATTGGGAAATCAGCTTCGTGGACAGTCAAGAACATCGGAGGATCACAAATGGCTTTTGGCTGCTTCTAAATTGGCTGAGCAGACAAGGTTAAAAGGAGAGCGTCTGAATAACCTTGATCTTTCAAAGGGTCCAATTGAAACAAGGTCAAGGGACAAATTTGGGTATCAGGAAGATAACAAATTCGACACTCTTAATGTCAGCATGTTAAATGCAGATTCTACAATTACCGAACATGTGAACAAAAACTCTTTCCGAAATGGTGTAATATACAATATGAATGTAGTGTATCAGAAGAACAATTCAAGCTTGGTGGGAAATATGAACAGTGACAAGTATAGTGGCAATGTTCAGAACAAAGAATCTCACAACTGTAGCAATAATAACAGCAATGATAGTGTCAACTCAAATGCAAATGACAAAAGGTATAAGACGTTGCCTGCATCAGAAACACTGCCTCGAAATGAGGTTCTTGGTGGATACATCTTTGTGTGTAACAACGACACAATGGAGGAAGATTTGAAGCATCAGCTATTTGGTAAGTGTGCTTTACTCAATCGCTACCAACCATTTATAGTGATAGGGGGGGTGTAGTTTGTAGATTGGCATGGCCTCTTGTTTATGAGAGTCTTTTTTCTCTTTACCTTTGTTATTTTTGGTTACATAATGCATGTACTCACTACTTGCCATTGGTTATGGTCTAATAGTATAAGGCATGGTTAATTTGCCAGATTTGTCCGGTTCTAATCTCTGTAACGAGGGGCAATGTTTTTTCTAGAGAGTAGGGAGGAAGTAACGTGAAATGCACTAGAGAGTAAATGGCTGAGAACTTGGTTGGTGAAGTTGCTTGTCTTTTAATATTGTAATTATTTAACACAATCATTGAAGAACTCAATCTAGAATTTATAGCGTATCATATTTTGTGCTGATTAAATATAGTCTATATTCTATTTTGAAGATTGCAAACAAGTATTTCTTGAGGACTGACATGATTAGTTAATAGGTTTGCCTTCGAGGTATCGGGATTCTGTTCGAGCAATTACACCAGGGCTGCCTCTCTTTTTGTATAACTATACCACTCATCAGCTGCACGGTATTTTTGAGGTGGGTTATGCTTAATTGGGGTTATATTAAATTTTTGATGTGGCTTGTATTATTAAATTGTGCATCAGGCTTTGCAGAAATTACTATACTTTTACTCTCTATTTAGTGCCTCGAATATATATGAAATGGGAGAAAAGGGGGCGGGGGGGAGTTAATGACAGAAAAATAGGTGTTTAGTTTATGCACTTACTTCGGAAAGACTTTTGCAGGCGGCAAGTTTTGGAGGCTCTAACATTGATCCTACTGCATGGGAGGATAAAAAATGCAAAGGCGAATCGAGATTTCCTGCTCAGGTAGAATTTAGGCCGTTGGAATAGAAGAGCTCCTGTACTTAATTAATTCGATGTTTAATAGGCAGTTGAATTTGTTCCTTGTGTTTACGTATAGGTAAGGATCCGTGTGAGGAAACTCTGCGAGGCACTGGAAGAAGATTCATTCAGGCCTGTTTTACATCATTACGATGGTCCTAAGTTTCGTCTTGAGCTGTCAGTTCCAGAGGTATGGATTTTCCTTCCTCTCATCATGAAAAAACTATTTTGCACAATTATTATCTCATTATCGGTTTCTCTCTTTCTCATCTTATTTTGATGCGTGGTATGCGGGGTTTAATTTTGCAGACCCTGGATCTGTTAGACCGATGTGAACAAGCCGGCCCAGCAGCCTAGGCCGCATAAGTTATAGAACATGGGCTTTGGTACGCTGGATGTGTGCTTTCGGCAGATTTTCCATGAAGGGTAAGCTTGGAAATTAGTCTGTATATCGGATCATCTCGGGGGAGCTCCGATAGAGTGTTGAGAAACCCCTTCTCAATATATTATAGTGACTCTGAAGATGCTTTGTAGCTTTTGCGGGGCAGTTATCCTGATAAAGCTTTTATGTACAACCTTTATACCTTTCTCTGGCTAAATATCAAGTGTCGTATCTGTTCTCATCGGTGTGTATGTACAACCAGTAAAGAGAAGAAACAAAATGAGCTTTTATTGACTTCTGGACTATCCTATGCTCGTCGGAAGCTCATAACGATCGGTTATTCTTTCTTTTTTTTCCCTTGGTTAAAAAAGATGGAAATTTAATATTATCACTGGTCCTAATTATAAGACCTTATTAGTAACTGGTCTTAATTATAAGACCTTATTTATAGATTACAAAAAAAAGTCTTATAATTTAGACTGGTGGAAGTAATACTGATTAACATAGTTCTTGATGATCTAGTCCTCTTTGTGTGAAATGAGGTTGAACTTAGGCTCAACAACTGGTGGTCCTTATTGATTAAGGGGCAACGGGAGATTTTCTCGAGGTGGAAATAAAGGTGGTAATGGCATTGTAAAATCAAGGAAAATAAAGGGTGCCAGGAAGTCATTAAAAGTAAAAACTGAAAAGAGAGCTGGCAATTGCAGAGGGAAAAAGGGTAGTTAGTTAAATAGAAGTTATATTATTAAATATGGAAAAAATTGTAAAATTTTTTTAATTACATCCTTATCAAAATCAATACTATATTAATTATAATGAATAAACTACTTATAAAATTTAATTGTACATGAGGTTGAAATAGAAAAAAATATTAAATATTTTAAATGTTGTTAAAGTGGATTTATACTTTGGACTGATTCAAATTAAGGGAACAAGACTTGTATTATAAAAAGGAGGAGTGTTTCAAATTTCAGTGTTTCATTTCAAAGCTGAGAACAAAAAAATCTATGCAATTATAAATGAAAAACAAATGTGAATTTTAGAGAAGTAAATACTACTTACCCTACGCATTCCGGTTCCGCGCGAAGCAAGCAACCCATACACCCAGGCCCAGGCAGGCACAATTCCAAACCAAAGTCAACAGGAAAAAGAAGTGGCGGGAGACCGGTACCACAGGTACGGGTTGTGGCCACAAAGCTCGTTGCGTTCGCAGCGACCAAGCTAACGAGCCAAATATCTCGTGTTCTATTTATCCTGCAAAGCACAAAACACCATTCTCACGCTAATCTGCGCTCCTGCGGCTTTGCTTCTTCTTCAATGGCGTCCATCCCTTTTCCCACTCTCTGCCTCTTTCATAAGCCCAGTTCTCTCACTGTCAGCTTCGTAGCATCGGATCGACGTAGGTTCAATTCTTATTCCACCCTTGGATTCGGGGCGACTCAGAGGAGCCGGAAATTCGGAATTACCGTTTGCAGAGCAGCTCCTGTTGCCTTCCGAAAGCTAGATGCTGACGATTTCCGTCACCCTCTTGATCAACAGGTGTGGATGATTTTCAATTTTCTCCGTGTTCCATGTTTATGGGGACTGCACCTAATGATGATTAGTTTTCCAAAAGTTGAATTTTCAAGTGCGAAATGTTATTTAAAATTCACCGTTGTTGTTTCTTTTCTTCCGAAATTGTTCGTTCGAACAACTGATGCTTTGTGTTTTGGTTTTCGTTTTAAATTCTCCAGAACACGGTGATACTGAGAGCAATTCCAGGATTAAACGAACTAGGAAAGGCTCTTCTCGGTAATACAAAGACGCCGCATCGTCATTAGTTCGATTTTTTTTTCTAGATTGTATTCTATTGCTGCGTAGAGTACTTGGAAAGCTCCATCTTTAACTCCGCTGAGTGCTGTCAAGATGCGTTTGAAAATTACAAGATGCTCTCCTGCTACTGCGTAGCAACAGAAATTCGAACGCTTTTTGACATTTTATGTTATATTTTATTGAAAATATTTCAGGTGCTTCCTTTTAAGTTTCCTTGGTTTCCTTCGTAGAGCGTGAAATAGAAAATAACATCTAGACGGAAATTTATTCTTCTTGGTATAAATAACTAGCTCTACATTTCCAATCCTCTTATAGTTAAGGCTTCTACGTCATCCAGAAACATTATTAATGGATTATATAGGCTTAGCTGAATTATTGGCTATTGGCGGCACGCAAGGACTCTTTATTTGTTCATGACTTTGGGTGGAAAGTTTTAAACTATAAATAGCGGCTTTTATATCATTTGACATATTTAATGGTGTCCAACCGGATATCTAAGATTCAAAATGACGCTGGTGGCGTGCAGTTATGAATTTATGTTGCTTATACATTTCAGATGCAAAGCTATTGTTCCACTTGTCTTGGATTAGAATGCTCATGATATAGTTCCTCCAATATGAATTGCAGGATCAGTAGCAGAGCAGATCATGCTCCTTGAGAATATAGGGACATCTGTTCTTGTTTCCGAAAATCAGGTATCCATGTCCGTGTCATCTGTCAGTAAAATTTTCATTAAGAACTACCTAGGAATATTTTATGCTGATTAGTAATTTGATTCATAAATATGCCCATGCCGCTTGTCCATACCTCTGATTAAAATTCTAATTGTTGTTATAATCCTCTTCTGATAAATGCAATAGACAAGCATTCGCAGTGCTGATGTGCAGCTATACATATAGAAATCCACATCTCTTCATGCATATGCTTGTTAAAAAACCCATGCATCTTGGGAAACTCCAGAAGAATTTTTGTGTGTGTGAACTCTGCTTCTTCTTTCTTTCCCTTTTCCTTCACCATGAATAACAGATCAATCTATATGCCATTGCTTGTCTGCATCTATAAATGAATGTCTGCGTGCATGCTCTTATGCATAATTGTTCTTTAAATAACGGTGTCTAGACTTTAGACATGGCTATCTGAGTTGAAACTTAGGAATGCTTCTTCTGATTAAATATTTACGAGGAATATCTGCACATGAAATCTGCCGCTTCTTTTAAGTTGGGTTTCATCGTGAAATTTACTGCCAACCATACTCACTTCAGTTGTTGTCCCAGTATGAAAATCAACCAAGTATGTTGTGTTATATCCTTGGTAACTTGGATTGACAAGCAGTTCCATTGTGATCACGAGTTACTGTCATCCATTATCAACTTCAGCTGAGTAATTGGCCTCCTTTTTTTTCCTTGTTGCATCAGCTTCCTGGTCTTCACCAGTTAATGGTGGAAGCAGCAGAAATATTAAATGTTGATGCCCCTGATCTGTACGTCAGGCAAAGTCCTGTGCCTAACGCATATACATTAGCTATAAGCGGTAAACGGCCATTTGTTGTTGTCCATACTAGCCTTGTGGAGCTCCTGACAAGAGAAGAGTTGCAGGTTCTTAGTTATTTCTCTATTATTTTTCATAATTAATTTCTGAGCCAGCCTGCATTTCCACAAATGATAGCATTTGGGTGATTGACTTTGAGGCGCATGGCTGTTATATGCACATATTAGCTACTATTCATGATATGTATTATTTCTTTCCAATTTACCCTATCAACTTAATTTAAACTGGTCAATAATATTGATGTCTAATCTTTTCTTTTAAGAATTTATCACTGTTGATGTTCTATCAGTTTACTTTAACAGGCTGTTCTGGCTCATGAGCTGGGCCATCTAAAATGTGATCATGGTGTGTGGCTAACATATGCGAACATTCTAACCCTTGGAGCCTATACAGTACCTGGTAGGTGATAGAGCTTCTTTTTTTTTTTTCTCCCCAATTCATTTTCTTTTTCCGTGTCTGTCCACATATATATTATGATTTGTCTTCTGTATCTTTTGGTACGTGGTATGCGCCAATTCCTGTGTGAGTGAAATGCAGAAGTGGTTCTGGATTGTCGAACTAACACTTGAGAGTTTCTCCACCCTAGATAAATTATAGTTGAGTAGTTAATTATGTCAGACGATCATGGTTGGAGAGACATTGTCTATCTGGCTTTCTATTGACTAATGTGGGGATCAAATCCATGTTAATATTACAATTGCTGGATTATGATAAGCCAGCAGCATTATCTGTAATTTATGATACCATGTTTACATCCATTCTAGTTCTTCGCTAATAAATTAATATCTAGCTAGCTTTGATGGCTCTCATTTTGACTGGCGAGAGCAAGCTGTTTTTGGTTGATAGATATACTCGCTTCGGCTGCAATATTTCTCTTTCACAACTGGTGTAATTTATTGTAGGCATTGGTGGCTTTATAGCTCGGACTTTAGAAGAGCAGTTATTCCGCTGGCTTCGAGCAGCTGAGTTGACCTGTGATCGTGCAGCTCTTCTTGTTGCTCAAGACCCTAAGGTATATAAATGTTGAGACTCAAAATCAATGCAGTTAGATAATTGCTGTTTTCTATATTGATAAAGTTTCTGTTTCCCAACCCTACAAGAGATTGTCGTCTCTGTTCTGATGAAATTAGCTGGAGGATGCCCCTCTATGGCTGATCAACTAAATGTGGATGCGTTCTTGGAGCAAGCACGCTCTTACGATAAAGCTTCTTCCAGCCCGGTTGGATGGTATCTAAGGTTTGTCACAACTTTCATAGTGCTCGGGCTGCTAACCTTTCCATTTGGAATCTTTTGTGTGTGAACGCTCTTCCCCTCTCATTAATCAGGAATGCTCAAACAAGGCAACTTTCACATCCTCTGCCGGCACTACGTGCCCGAGAAATTGATGAATGGTCAAGAAGTCCAGCTTATAAATCTCTTCTGAAACGGGGATTACCGATCAAATCTCTACACAATGTTTAACGCTGCTCACATTGGTACTCTTCAAAATGCATGACAGCTCAAAAGTTCAAAAGGTTAGCTTCTCAAGACATGATAGCTTTTTGACTGTTCTGACTTTTAAGCAGTTCATCCGAATGGTAATATTCCCCATTTATAAACCAAGCTAATTTATGCGAGTTTTTTTTTGGACCAAAAATTTGTGAGTTATTGTGTTCTACACAATTGCTGATGTGGGATGTCTGGATCACATTATATATAA